CAAAAGAAGCTATACAAATGGCCAACGAGCTTATAGAGAGATGCTCAGCGTGACCAGTCATCAGGGAAATGCAACTCAAACCGAATGAGATATCACCTCATACTTGTTAGTGTGGCCACTATAAAAAAAAAAAAAAGCAAAAACAAAAAAGCAAACCACAAAGTAAGTGTTGGTGAGGGTGTGGAAAAATTGGAACTCTTGTTGCTGTTGGTTAGAATATAAAATGGTGTCACTGCTATGAAAAACATTATGAAGTTTCCTCAGTAAATAAAAAATAGAATCACCACGTGTCCAGCAAACCTACTTGAGGGTACATATCCAGAAGAATTGAAAGCAGGGATTCAAAGAGGTATTTGTACACCCATGTTCACAGCAGGATTATTAAAGGCGGAAGCAACCTAAATGTCCATCAGCAGATGAGTAGATAAAGAAAATGTGGTCTGTAGATACAATGGAATATTATTTAACCTTTAAAACGAAGGAAATCCTGTCACATGGTACAAATGGGTGAGCCTTGAGGACATTAAGCTAAGTGATATAAGCCAGTCACAGAAGCACAAATAATACATGGTTCTACGTACATGGGGGTGTCTAAAGTTGTCAGACTCATAGAGGCAGAAAGTAGAATGGTGGTTTTCAAGGGTTGGGAGCGGGAAAGGGGACCTATTTTTCAGTGAGTATAGATAGAGCTTCAGTTTTGCAAGATGAAAAGAGTGCTGGAGATCTGTTTTATAACAGTGCAAGTGTAGTTAACACTATTGTACTGCACACTGCAGAGTGTTTAAGCTGGAAATTTTTATGTTATATGTTTTTTACCACAATAGAAAGCAAGAGTATAATTCTTTAAATGCTGCTTCAGTTTCTCTCTTTCAATTTACTAATGAAATTAGTAACTTGTAGACATTTCCTAGTATTATTAAAACATCCTTGCAATCTCAGTATAAACCACAGCTTCATTTGTGATAGCTGACGGAGTCAATTTCCTAAATACATAGAGAACACTTAAATTCAGAGAAAAAGGGACATGATTTATTATAAAATGTCAATGACATGTGAAAAGATTCTTAGCCATGCTTATAAAGAAATGCAAGTTAAAACAATAGTGTCCAGTTTTTTTATGTATCAAATTAGCAAAGACTAGAAGTAGTAATGACGTGCAGTGACACTGAGAGCACTTCATTCTCTAGTCAGGAGACTGAGAATCATTACCATCTATCTGAAGGGCAATTTTGTATTTTACTGACAATATCTTAAATGCCACAGCAGTTCTACCTATACAATACTCAGAATTTCAGGTATTTTCAAATGCACAAAAGTATTTGCAGGGATAGCCATTGAGCTATTATTTGTAATAGTTTAAAGAAAACCTGGAGAAATGCAAATGTCTATTAACAGCTAGATTGTTTAAGTAAGTTATGATACATCCATAAATTAGAACCTTGTTTAAAAGAGTGAGATAAACTGTAGGTCCTGACATGGAAAGATATTGAAAGTACATTCTTGTGGAAGGAAAAGAGAGAAGCAGAGCCAAAGGTGAAAACACAACTCCGTTTTGGGTTTTTAAAAAATTAGTTACAGTAACCTGTGCCTAGAAAACATATCTGAAATAACAGAAACTGGATTGGTGGCAGTGGCTATCTTTGGGAAGAATAGGGAGGATTTTCACCTTTATTCATTATTTCTGATAGAGATAAATTTATATATGAAGCATAATTTGAAATAAAAAGGAAAAAGGATGGGAGGGAGGGTATAGCTCAGTGGTAAAGCGTTTGTTTAGCGTGCACGGGGTCCTGGGTTCAGTCCCCAGTACCTCCACTGGAATAAACAAACCTAATTACTACTCCCCCCAAAAAAAGAGAAAGGAGGAAGGATACATTTCGACAAAAAACTGTTGTTGGTAACAATTAAAAAGGGAATGCTACCTGCAGATTTTTATTTTGGAATGAGTTAAGGTTTACATGTGATTTACTGTACTGCATGACCAACTTTTAAATATGTTTCATGAATGTTTAAAAAATATGAAATTGATTACAGCAGAATATTTGACTACCCATATCTGTCAAATCAACCTCATTGTAGAAGTCTCATTCTTTATACCCTTTTTATTGTCTACTTGAGCTTTCAGAACCACGAGTAGTGTATTAAAATCTCTCACTATGATTGTGTTTCTGTAACTCTGTCAGCTTCTTTCATTATTCCTGTTTTTGTTGGTAAGTTGTGGGTTGTGTGTCCAGGAGGGCCGCAGCCCAGCCACCAGAACACTTGGAAAGAGTCTGCTGGCAGCCGCCTTTCTAAACATTTGAATTCTTCTGTTGAACTCTTATTGTCCTCCCAGTTCCTGCCTCAGAATTCAAACCACAACAGAAAGTGCCTAACTTAGCTATAGTTTAAAGCTAAACACTTTAAGAATTTGATCTAAAAACTCATATATATATATTTTTTCAAGCCCCATTTGTGTATTTTGCAGTTGAAGTACAGTGACTGTTAGCTACAGCTTAGCTGACTTAATGAATCAAGCAATTCCCAATTTTCAAAGACAGATTTTTTTAAAATTACATACTTTCATTCTAATCTCCTCAGTAAAAAATAGTCCATTTACAAGACAGAAATTCTCGAGACAGGGCATAGAAAGGATTGTACGAAGAGCGATGAACCTACAGTTGTCATCTGGTCCTTTTTTGAGAATCTCTGGCAGCACAAAACCTCACATTTATATCAGCTCACCTCACTCAGGGCGTGGCTTAGCAAACAGTGTGTTTCCACACGGTAATTAGTGCCTCGGTTGTCAGACATGGTCCATGAATGTTTTCTGGAGGAATGATTTTCTAGATAATTAGAGCTTTACTCTTTAAGCACCACTTTTATTAGATACCCTTTTAAAAATATTGGATTAAAAACTGGTTTTAAAACCAGTCTAGCTGTTAATAGACATTCGCATTTCTTTAATTTTTTTTTCTTTAACTATTACAAATGACAAATAGACAAACTTCAACTTACCTAAGTGGGTAATGTTGCTGAAAATAGCCACCTGGTCAGCATCCAGGTGGTGAGTGTGTGGATGTTCACTGTAAAATTCTTTCAAGTTTGTTTGAAATTTTTCCTAATAAACGTTGTGGGGAAACAGAGCTTCGGAAAGTCATGCAGCCCTATTCCAGCCATGTTGTGGTTGCTCAGAGAGCTCAGTGTGTGGACTGGTGAAGGTGGCAGGCTCCTGGGCCAGAGTGCCAGCCTCTGCTGCCTCCTAGCTGTGTGCCCTTCCAGCATCACTGTGCTTCTCTGAGCCTGGTCTTTCTCATCTGTAAAATGGGAATTGTGAGAGGTGGTTGTGAGAGGAAGGGGAGAGGGTGTGTATGGAAGCACTTCCTACAGCACTAAGCACTCAGTAATCTCTGGCAGCTGCTGCCACTGCCCCCACTACTGCTATTTTGTGATCGCCTTCCTCCTTAACCACCGGCCCACTGGGAGACTGGCTAGCAGTGGTGCTTCCCTTGATCACTGATTTGGAAGACAATTTGGGGCCACCTTGAGACTTAATTTTGAATGACATTGGGACTATTTCCCCAAATCAAATCCATCTTCATGTTGTCCCCTTCTCAGCCTTGTATAAAATACCAGGAACATAGCGTTACTCTTCCTGAGGGGAGCCCAGCCCTCATCGCAACTGTCAGTTACAGCCTGAGTCTCAGGTGCTGTGCCAGTCGGTCAGGTCCGGCACTCCCCTGCTCCTCAGTGGGGTGAGCACCTGCTCACTGCATTAGCTGGCAGGTCTGTGGTTCCCTTCCTTCTTCTCTCCTCTCAAACCTGTGTTCACAGCCACTGGTGTTCACCTTTCCCCAGGGCAGAAGTCAGAAAGAAGGCGGCAAATCAGAAAGTGTCATAAATCAATGACGTCACCTGTACTGGACGTCAGAAGTGAGAAGGATGACCCTCTTCCACAGCACTGAGTGCTGTAACTTTCTGTCCTCCGCCTTTCTTCGGTTTGGAGTCTCATTTTCAGCATTACAATTGCTAAGAGAAAGGCAGTGATGATCGTGGTGGTATTATGTTAATAATAGAGATCATAGAAACACCTTTCTCCTGGCATCTCATGAAAGAATTATTGTTAAAAAGTATTTTACATGTAAATAAGTCAGTCATCCCAGCTTTTGAAATGAATTTCACATGGATCAAAGATACAAGTTTTTTTTTTAAAGGAATAATCAAGGTACAGAAAGAAAAAAATAAGGCCAGTACAAAGTCACATGTGGCCTGCACACCCGAGGTGAGGCCACATGTGGAGGTGCCACCCCCAGCGGGAGATGCACCATCGCTGGGCCGCAGACTGTGTCTGTGATCCCCTGACACTCCGACCTTGGTCTTTACCTGAGCAACAGCGGTCCAGGGTACAGCCAGTAACTGCAGGTGACCCCTCTTCCACGTCCTGGAATGTGGTGACAGGGCAGCCAGCAGGGATGGTCCACCGAGAGCACCTGGCTCCTATAGCGGCAGCGTCCCCCACCCCAGCCACCCCCAGTTCACACGCCACAGCGGACTTGGCCTCTGGGCCTGGCTCGAGAGAGGCAGAGGCGGCGTCCTGTTCTTATCCGTGGGCAGGCTGTGAAAAGAAAGCCCTTCTTGGCCCAAACATTTAAACAAGAATTACACTAGGATCTTTTGTTCTCACTCTGACATGGTCAGAATTAATTTGGAGGTCCAAAAGAGGATTATTTTGTTGTCGTTTAATCTGAGTTACTCTATACAAGGATACAGAGAGAAGCACAAAACAAAAACACACAGCTGAGGTCTGTCAGATGGTATTGGGACGCGCCCACGTCACTCTGCAGGGCACTACTCTGTGAGTGTTGGGGGAGCTCCTGACTCAGACATCACGTCCAAGCAGCTGCTGGACTTCCAGTGAAAAGGCCCGGACAATCGGAGGCCAGCAGAGAGTGTGTCTGGGAATCTGAGAAACGCACTGACAGCTCGGGAGACCTCACCATGTTTTCTTTCTTCCTCTTCAGGTTTAACAGGGAAAACTTGCTTTCCACGAACAACTGAACAAGCTGCCCTCGGAAGCTTTTCTTTGGCCCTCATGGTGCTGCTGGGCCCTGTGCTGTGAGGCCCCCGACGGGACCTGCTCTTGCCCGTGGATCACCCGGCGTGGTCATCGCCATGGCCAGCAAGAGGAAGTCCACCACCCCATGCATGATCCCCGTGAAGACCGTGGTGCTGCCGGACGCCAGTGCTGAGGCCCAGCCTGCGGAGGCCACACGGGAGGTGCCCCAGCAGGAGCTGCCCCCAGAAGTACCTGCCACCAGCAGTGAGGCCACCCAGAGCGCCAGCAGTACCGACGGCACCACGCTGGCCAATGGGCACCGGAGCACCTTGGATGGCTACTCATATACCTGTAAATATTGTGACTTCAGATCCCAGGACATAACCCAGTTTGTGGGACATCTGAACTCAGAGCACACAGACTTTAATAAAGACCCAACTTTTGTATGCACTGAATGCAGTTTTCTGGCAAAAACTCCTGAGGGGCTCTCTCTGCACAATGCCAAGTGTCACTCGGGGGAAGCCAGCTTTGTGTGGCATGTGGCCAAGCCAGACAATCATGTAGTCGTGGAGCAGAGCGTCCCTGAGAGCACCAGCCCTCCCGATCCATTGGGTGAGCCAAACGTGGAAGGGACTGATGGACAGGCTGAAATCATCATCACCAAAACTCCAATCATGAAGATAATGAAAGGTAAAGCTGAGGCCAAAAAAATTCACACGCTCAAGGAGAACGTCCCCAATCAGCCCACTGGTGAGGCCTTACCAAACCCTTCAGCGGGGGACACGGAGGTGAAAGAGGGGGACCATGCCTTTGTCAATGGGGCGGTCCCAGTCAGCCAGGCCTCTACCAGCTCTGCCAAACCCCCCCACGCGGCCAACGGGCCCCTGATAGGAACGGTGCCAGTGTTGCCGGCAGGGATTGCCCAGTTCCTCTCCCTCCAGCAGCCGCCCCCGGCCCATGCCCAGCACCATGCTCACCAGCCCCTGCCCACGGCCAAGTCCCTTCCCAAAGTGATGATCCCGCTGAGCAGCATTCCCACATACAATGCAGCCATGGACTCCAACAGCTTCCTGAAGAACTCTTTCCACAAGTTCCCCTATCCAACCAAAGCCGAGCTCTGCTATTTGACTGTGGTCACCAAGTACCCAGAAGAACAGCTCAAGATCTGGTTCACTGCCCAGAGACTGAAACAAGGTATCAGCTGGTCCCCAGAGGAGATCGAGGATGCCCGGAAAAAGATGTTCAACACGGTCATTCAGTCCGTCCCTCAGCCCACAATCACTGTTCTCAACACCCCTCTGGTTGCCAGTGCTGGCAACGTCCAACATCTCATCCAGGCTGCTCTGCCGGGTCACGTCGTGGGACAGCCGGAGGGCACAGCCGGGGGACTTCTGGTCACTCAGCCACTGATGGCCAACGGATTGCAGGCACCCAGCTCGTCTCTTCCCTTGGCAGTCACATCTGTCCCCAAGCCGCCCACTGTGGCACCCATTAACACTGTGTGTTCAAATACCACATCGGCCGTGAAGGTGGTGAACGCGGCCCAGTCGCTCCTCACAGCATGCCCCAGCATTACCTCCCAAGCCTTCCTTGACGCCAGCATCTACAAAAACAAGAAATCTCACGAACAGCTGTCAGCTCTGAAAGGTAGCTTCTGTCGGAACCAGTTCCCAGGACAGAGTGAAGTTGAGCATCTGACCAAAGTGACCGGCCTCAGCACGAGGGAGGTGCGGAAGTGGTTCAGTGACCGCAGGTACCACTGCCGGAACCTGAAGGGCTCCCGGGCCGGGCTGCCTGGAGAGCACAGCTCCATCCTTGGGGACTCTGTGCCAGAGGTGCCCTTCCCCCCATCATCCAAGGCCCCGGAGGTGCCCTGCATCCCCACAGCGGCTACCCTGGCCACCCCTCCTTCGGCCAAACGACAGTCCTGGCACCAGACCCCTGACTTCACACCAACCAAATACAAAGAGCGAGCCCCTGAGCAGCTCAGAGCCCTGGAGAGCAGCTTTGCACAAAACCCCCTTCCTCTCGACGAGGAGCTGGACCGTCTGAGGACTGAGACCAAAATGACCCGCAGGGAGATTGATGGCTGGTTTTCAGAGAGGCGGAAAAAAGTGAGCGCCGAGGAGGCCAAGAAGGTCGAGGAGGGTGCCTCCCATGGGGAGGAGGAGGCTGCCGAGGACGAGGGGGAGGAGGGCTCGGCCGGTGACCTGAGGGTCCTGGGTGAGAACGGCTCCCCAGAAGTGCCCAGCAGCCACACACTGGCAGAACGCAAAGTCAGCCCCATTAAAATCAACCTCAAGAACCTGCGGGTCACAGAGGCCAACGGCAGGAGCGAGCTTCCGGGGCTGGGCATCTGCGAGCCCGAGGACGATGTGCCGAACAAGCTGGCAGAGCAGCCCCCGGGCAAGGTGAGCTACAAAAAGACGGCCCAGCAGCGGCACCTGCTGCGGCAGCTCTTCGTGCAGACGCAGTGGCCCAGCAACCAGGACTACGAGGCCATCATGGCCCAGACGGGCCTGCCGCGGCCCGAGGTGGTGCGCTGGTTCGGGGACAGCAGGTACGCCCTGAAGAACGGCCAGCTCAAGTGGTACGAAGACTATAAGCGGGGCAACTTCCCCCCCGGGCTGCTGGTCATCGCCCCAGGCAACCGGGAGCTACTGCAAGACTATTACGTGACGCACAAGATGCTGTTCGAGGAGGACCTGCAGAGCCTCTGCGACAAGACCCAGATGAGTGCCCAGCAGGTCAAACAGTGGTTTGCGGAGAAAATGGGTGAGGAGACCCGGGCTGTGGCCGACACGGGCAGCGAGGGCCAGGGCCCCGGTGAGCCTGCGGCAGTTCACAAAGGGACAGGCGACACCTATTCGGAGGTGTCTGAGAACAGTGAGTCGTGGGAGCCCAGTGCCCCTGAGGCCAGCTCAGAGCCCTTTGACATGCCGAGTCCTCAGGCTGGACCTCAGCTGGGTAAGGAGCCCGTGGAGGCCGCGCTATCCCCTGTGGGTGTGGGAGCACTTGCAGCGGGCACTAAATTTAGTGCCCAGAGCATCCGCTGTTTCTAAGGCTGTCGGCATCAGGACCACATTGGTCCTGGCTGCTTTAGGGGGGCAACTGGCATCAGAAGCCACTGGCACATCATATGATAAAGAGTTGAGAGCTGTTTGTTCCATTTCATGTTTTTAAAACCTGTGCGGGGGAAGGAGCAGAGTGAACTACAAGGATTTATACTTTTCTAGTCATTTCTTAGCAAAAGGAGAATATGTCAAAATGTCATCTGAGCCAGACAGAGCCACAACCACTGGGCAGGAGAGAGCAGTAGGGCTTATGAGGAAATTCAACTCAAATTGGTGAACAAAAGCAGACAGAGCCTTTAATCTGGCCTTAGATACATGAAATGCTTTTTTGTTTTAAATGAGGAAACATCCTGTAATTTGCATTTCTATTGCTCTTCCTGATGTAGAGGTAATGGAAAATTGTCTTCACTCTAAGACACATGTGGAATCAGAAGCTTGAATTTTGATCCTCAGTTTCTCTGGATCATGGCATCCGTACTTGAAAGAGAGCTTTAGAGGGTTATTTTATTGGAAGACAGTATGAAGCCTCAGATAAGTCACGTTATTGGGTGCTGGTTCTCTAGGGTCCTAATCCCTGAGTTCCCAGCCTTTCCCTTCCCTCCCCACCATCCTCACTAGAGGCCTCATCACAGGATGGCCAGGAGCCATGAAACTTAGCTCTTCACAGGAGGCTGTGGAAACCAAGGATGTATCTGGATTCCCAGATTCCTGATTTGTGGACCTTTAGTAGTTGGTTCCAGGGCTGGTATTTTGGAACTTGACCTGTTTCCTCCAGACCCCCTGAGTCAGTCAGGTCCCTGCAGAGGTCAGGTTTGGCTTCACAGGGCTGGTTGCCATGGGCACCTTCTCCAGCACCAGGCCTGCCCCTCCCCTGGCTTTGGCTCTGCCAGCAGAGCGGCAGATTGCAGGAGCTGGAACAAACTCATTTCTTCAGTTTTTGTTTTAATTAAAATTCTACTGAACTATATTCTTGAGTAGCTGGAAATAGGGTGGTGGTTACACAACACTGTGAATGGACTTAATGCCACTTAACGGTATACTTAAAAATGGTTATAATGGTAGGTTTTATGTTATGTATATTTGACTGCAATTAAAAATGCTAACATGGAGTTGGGATGAATGGGTCAAATCTCCAGCACTGGTTCCTCTCCGCTGGTAAATCCGACACTAAGTGAAGAGCTGGTGTCCTCAGTGGGACAGAGCAGGAGTGGCGGCGGGTGGCCATGCCTTCATGGCGGCGTCCTCCTGTAGCCGAGACAGGTATCTGTGGGTCTGTCTGTCTGTAGTTGGTTTCTCACGGCTTTCTCGGCCAGCCTCAACACAAGGAATCGTGGCAGGCGAGGGCCCTGTAACGTAGACTTCAGGGTTAGGAGTTACAGATGAAGTAAAGAGATCAGGGGGACACACATCAGAAAGCAGCCCCAGCTGCTGCTGTACCAGAGCCGTGTGTTCTGGAGAGCCCGGGGGGAGGGCCAGATGAGGCAGCCCAGGACAGGACTTCAGGGGCGGCGGCCCAGGAAATGGAGCCGCGCAGCAAGCAAGGGTCAGCGGGCCTAGAGAAGACAGGCTCCCGGCCCGGCTCTGCGCCTGGGCTTGCCGTGGTGCCTGCAAGGGTCGGGGCCTCACCAGCTTTGGCAGGCATCCCGTCCTTAGCCCGTGTGCCCTTCTCCACCTTCCCCCAGGCTGGGGAGTCAGGGAGGGCTGGCAGGAAGGCACTGCTTATGGAATTGAAAAGCCCCCAAGCCCGTGCCGCCATCCTGGACACCCAGGACGGGCTGTCCTGGGGCCATGCAAGCAGAGGTGACCGGCCTGTGTTTTCTTCTCAGAAACAGACTGAATGGGAAACAATGGCTGTGAAGGACTGGCCCGTCTGGGATGCCGCCTGCTGCGTGGAAGGGCCCGATCCAACTCTGCTGCCAAAGGCCGCCCCCAAGCCCAGTTGCTGGGCTCACACAGGGCTTCCCGAGGCCTCCACGCAGCCCAAGCCCACCGCCGCCCTGGCCTGCCACCGCCCAGCCAGCGGGGAGAAGCGCCTGTCAGTTCTTCCGCCCACAACATAGGACCTTTCCTTTGCCTTCCAGTGGATAAATAGTTCAGAGTTCATATTCATAGACAGAATCAAGTTTTTATCATATAAATCTGCCTACACACATGTAATAAAGCATCAGATGATAAATACTTTCATTACATAGAAACTCTGGTTAGCAAAGCAGTACCTTGTCTTTTACATCATCTCCGGAAACACCCTGTCTGTTCTCTGGAGCTCGCTGGCCGCGTGTTCCTGCACCTTCCTTGGTCGACTAGGGTTATCACACACTCAGAACTACACCTGCAACCCCTGGGGCCCCCTTTGCCCTCCTCAAGGAAGGCAGCACCTTTGAAGAGATGTCTGCTACCTTGAGCGGTGACCAGCAGCGTGTCACAGCAGGCTTGCCTTGCCTTTTGGGATAATCAGGGCAGAACCTGCTGTTACCCACAGTTTAAGAAAATGGACCGATCATGTGATTAGTATTTGATGCTTTCCACTCTCTTTAAGTTGTTATAGTATTTCTGCTTTATCGTGGGAGTTTGAATCATGGACCATAATTCTCCAGTGAGCAGATCAACTAAAGAAACATTTGTTGTTAAGCCTAATGTACTGACATGCCACCTTTTTTTCCTTCAGTCTAGACGTGTTGAGGGTGAGAGGAAGAGACGAGAGAAACGGGTGGGAGATGAACATGGAAGCACAGCCTTGGGCTGTAGCTCTGTCCATGGGTTTCAGAGCCCTCTGTCCACACTCACTGCAAAGCCACCTCTCGTTTGGGAAGGAGGACCCTGGCTCGCCCAGAGTGAGAGTGAGAGCTGGTGGGATCCGGGGACTTCTCGGAGTTACCAGAGCCGGGGTGGCCCTCAGCACAAAGGCCTGTGTGTGGGGGTTCCTGGCAGAGCACCAGAGTACTCCTGACCCCTGTGCCCGGGGCCTGGCAGGCGAGCTGGACATCGCTGGACAGGTCCTTGTGAGGATGTGTTTGAAGTTCTATGTTTATATCCCCAAACTGGAAACAAAATCTCTGTCTACTTTGGCCTAACCCTCCTATTCATTTTTTTTAATTGAGAAAAATCACAAGAAAAGGTGCCTTTGAAACATTGGGAAACTTGCTTACAAAGCTGTGCTAAATGGTAAATACCTTTCTCTCCCAAGACCAGCTGCTCCGAGAGCAGCAGGTGAAGAGTGGGGCTGGCAAAGGGCGCATCACTTCCCAGAAACCACCTGCTGCCCAAAGCACCGAGGCCTCAGAGGCCTGCTGCTCCTGGGCCCTGGCTGGTTGGGCAGCACAAGGAGACCCCAGAGACAGGGCAGGAGCTCTGGGCAAGAAATGCTGGCGGTGGGTTAGGCATGGTCTTCCTCCCCCAGCCCACCCAGGTTCTGGACCAGGCCCCCCACAGGCTTGGCTCTGAGCACCTCCCACCACCAAGAGAGGCTTTCTTTGGAAACCAGAAGCCCTTGCACCCTCGTTCTTCTCAAGTGTCTTCACCTGCTCGCCCTGTCTCATCAGGGACCACCTCTTCTATGTTTCCAACAGGTGACTTGTGAGTCCTTGGCAAGTTGTGCAGCTTGTTTTTGTATCCTTTCCGTTTTGGGTGTGAAGCTGTTGCCCCAAGGCCTCTGCAGAACTGCGAAGAATGGCAAGTGATTGCCTTTCTTCAGAGAACAGACACCTGCACTTTTCCTGTGGTGCTGGTGTACATGCAGATAATTTATATATACACACATGTACAGTACAGATCCTCATTTGATCCTTGTGAACTGTACACCTGACGTGCACACTGGAGGAACTTGGTGGCACGTGGGTGTTGGGGAAAGTAGCCTGTGAGGGGTGGCCGGGATGCAGGGGGCAGCCAGGGCGGCCCTGCACGAAGCCATCTCCAATGTCTGAGATGCTACTCTGAGTGCACTGGCTGAAGAGCTGTTTTTAGAGAGGATTTTCTTCGTTATTTTATTTGTATCCACATGTCATTTACAACCCAAACAGCAAGACAGAAAAAATAAATTACTTGGTGGACAAGTTAATGCAGGACAGAGAGAGTGACCAGACCTCAACACCAGCTCATCCTTGAAAGATGGAGAAGTTACTGTGATGCCCACCAGGCAGGTTTTCCTCCAAGATGCTGGCCCTGCTCAACACCCAGGGCCACATTTCTAAGTGGCAGGATGCCCAGGTAAGGAGCCTAGCAGGCCAGATAGACCCTCCTCCTTCCTATGCTCTCGGACGTGAGTAAGTGGGGTTCAAGCCTTATGCTTGAATGAGTGAAGTGATCACAAGTGATGGAGACAGACGGGTTGTCGAGTAGGTGCCTAAGGGACATTGCGGCAGGTACCCAGGGCTCTGGGAGCAAAGCCATGAACACAGCCACCTGGGCAGAGAAGCGCCTACTGCAGCCTGGAATCGGGGCGCCCCAGAGTGGTGGGGATGTGGGCCTGTGGCCAGGCAGGTCACCGCGGGTTTGCACCCCACCCGAGGGTTGGATTCTGTGATGTCGCCTTTGCTAGAAGGCAGTTGGTGGGCTGCAGAGTTGAGGGAGGAAGGGTGGGGTCAGTCTCTCCCAAAGAACAAGCTTGTTTTACAAGGTGACTCATCTTGCCCACCTCCGTATGCGCTTGGGCTCATCAGAGATGGTGGAGTGTGTCAGTGTTTCCTTGTTGCCTTGTATGTTTAGTTGATTATATTTTTTACATAGGGTTGTAGATCCAGTTTTAATAGGGGAGTTCTGATAAAGGAAACCTGGATTTATGACACATATACTTTGCATACTTTGAGTACTTATTTTAATTCTTGACGTTTAAGGAGCTTTTTGATCTGGGAGGCAGGCTCTCATTCTCCGGAGTCTCGGGTTCCTTAAGGGGAAAGCCCTGGATGGAGGATGTGCTGGCCCCTTGGGCAGACTGTCCTGTGGGACTAGAGCTGCTTTGGCAGCTGAGTGCCCGGCAGTTGTCCGAGTGGACCAAAGCCCCTTGATTAAAGGCCCCACACCTGCTGACCAGAAGCGAATGCGGGAGGTGGGCGAGGGGTACCTTGCAGGCTCTCGCGGGTACTTGTGGCCCTGGAGGCTATCCCACTAGGGAGTGTCAGCGTGTTCTCCAGGCCGAGGTGTGGCTGTTTTGGGCTTTATCCTGCTCAGTCAGTGGTCCTGTGACAGGCCCTGCAGCCCCTCCTCCCGTGGGCAAGGTTGCCTTCCACGGTCTTTCTGTGCCCATCCTTGCCCACGGCGCCCTGCTTGTGCCGCCCTGCTGCCTCTGGTCTTCCTCTTCTTGGACCAAAATCCTTGCGTTGAAGCAGCTTTATCTATTCAGACATCACAGCCCAGGTGGATAAAGGTACTTGGCAGGAGATGAGAACTAGCCAAGAAAGAATCTTAAACAAACCAAACCTGGAATTTGGGCTTTTCCTAAAGCTTCTCCCCACCACCCCACCTTTTTCCTTGCTGAGACTTTACCTGGGGCAGGTTATCAGTTTGACTCATGTTTTGTATTACGTGTAAGTTTTCCTGTATCCCATTGATTTGCAAGGCTCAGTTGTATGCTAAAGAAAGGTCCTCAAGACATGGAAAGAAAGGTGCGCACGGCCAGTCCTTCTGGGCCAAAGCCAGCAGCTTACCTTAGTCAAGAGAGTAACAGAGCTCCATCCTCCCTAACCCCTCTGGAGCACACCCCCACCAAGCCCTCCTGAATCAGCTTTCTGCCCAGGCCTTCGGAGCCCATCTCCGGTGGCTGGGGGAGCACCTGCCTTAGGAGAAGCTGCAACGCCTGGGAAACCAGGGAGTGTGGTGCCCACGCCCTTCCTGGTCGGTCCCCTCCCTGAGCAAGGCTTCAGTCTGGGGCATCCACTGCACTGTCTCCTGTGGCCCATTGATCACAGCCGAGCCCAGGATGGATTTTGATTTTGGCCGAGTAAGTGAATAGTGGACGTGGTGACTGTGATACCGCCGGGCTTGCCACCCAACCCAGCTCTAAGTCTAGACAGACAGAACCCACAGGCCTTGGTTCTGATTCGTTTTCCGCAGGAATATCTCTGTGTGTTCCCAGTGCCAAGTCACACTGGGGAGGGAGGGCGAGGGCTGACCCACGTCCACAGGAGCGTGAGGTCGGAGGAGTACAGATGGGGCATTTGCCTGAGAGATGGTGGGCAGCCTGATCTTTGGTTCTTCAGCCCTGAGCTGTTCTGTAACCTGCCTTCAAATCTGGCCTCTCCTTTGAATGGAGGCCAGTCCTGCACCAGACTGGAGATCTGACGGCCTGGATCCAGCGGGAACCAGCCATCCTACCTGCCCCGTGGTCCAGAACAGGGCGGGGACCCATGAAAAAGGCACTGCTCACCCTGCAGGTGAGGACGGGGCAAGGACCTGCTGCCTGGAGTTTTTAAAACCCTGTATTTTGGTTTGCAGGAGGTGAGGCTTCGCAGGAAACGTGTGGCTCCTGCTTTGCTTCCACGGCCCTCAGATGCGGCCCAGGCCAGAGCCTGGCTTCTCACTGGGGACTGTGGTTGTCTTCCCTCTGGCTGCCGGTGTCTCTCCTGCCGTCCACCCAGGGCAGGTGGCAAGCCGGGGACCTGACGAGTCTGAGTGTTCACCTGCCATCAGTGCCTGTTGTTCAGGAGCCTGGCTCTGGCGCAGGAGCCCCCGGTGTGGGAATGACTTTGGCTAATGCTTTCTAGTGTGTTTCTTCCCTTGATAAGTGGATGATCTGAAGGCATTCCACGTGCCATGCGGGGAGTTGGAGGTGGAGGGTCTGGGGTGAGGGCTGTTCTGAGTCCCCGATGGAGAGCTGCAGGGTGCGGGTTCCAGGGCAGGACCAAGGCAGGCGCACCCTGAGGGCACAGGCACCGCCCCACGGGTGCTGGCTCGCCCTTCATTTGTGTTCCGACGTTCGGCACCCCCACCCCTCAGTTTGCTGCAGGTGTGGCTGGGAGAGCCAGCGCCGCTGGCCCTGGGCAGATGCAGCCTGCGGGGCAGGCCGCTGGGTGGTGCTGGGTGGGTGTAGGGAGAGTGGGTTCCTGCTGGGCTTCCGGGCGCCGCTTTGTTCAGTGTATGGGGAGGGCCGAATGTGCCATCGCTGTTGTTCAGAAGAGTAACTAGCCCTGCCGGCGTTGCGGATTGAAAGCCTATCGAGCGCAGTCTTCCCGGGGGTTGCTGGAGGCCTGCGGGTGCCGTCCTGGTGCCTTGTCCCTGCTCCCCTGCCACCCGGTCACTGGCAGCCTGGTCTTCAGCACAGACCCTGCATTCCGAGGGCAGCTGTGGGAAGGGAGGCGGGGGTGGCAGGACCAGTGTGCTGGTGGTGCACTTCCTGTCCCCCTAGACACCCAGGAAGTCGTCGTCTTGGTGCTAAGAGGCCACTGCCCTGTTTCTGTTGGTCCAGCGGGCCCCTCCTCCTGTGGTGGCCGAGTGTGAGAGGCCAATCCAGAGAGAGGCACAGGTGCACCTTGACCGTCACTAGGCCTGGTGGAAGGGGGCTCTTCACCCTGGGGAAGTGTTTTTAACAGAAAGATGGAACTTGCCTTTGGACTGTGGCTGTGCTGGGCTGGGAGGAAAGGGCTGCCCTCTCTGGGCTGGGTCTCCAGGCCTCACGAGGTCCCCTGTGGGGATGCTGCTATTTCTAAGATGCAAATTGCACATTTCCTAGATTTTGTATCTGTGGATTTGGATAAGGGAGGGGGACAGGGACAAACTGCTTGTACAATTTGAAATGGGCCGAAATGGTACTTCAAATCTTTTGATTGTTCCTAAATAAAAACGTAAATACTTTTCCCATCTGCTGACTTGATTTGTGGGGGAATCAGGAAAAAAAAGCAGATACTCACATCGCCTGATCTGTTCTGTGGGTGAGACCAACAGCTTGGGTGTGTGAGTGGGGCAGGTTCCCTCGTGCACTTCAGGACAGTGCCAGCTCACTGTCTCCCACACGGCTCGGTCCACTCTGGTGCCTCCTCTGGAAAGAACAGCGGTGTTGCCAAAATTATGCTAGAGACAAGGGAAACTGAGTCAGGCCTGGAGCCGTCAGGCGTCTGGTGAGAGGACACTTTTTCTGGGAGGGAAGTCCTGATAAGCAAGGCTGTCATTTGCTGAGGAGAGGTTGGTGAATATGCCTAAGGACCCAGGGGCCTTGAAGGAATGAGATTCAAGCCCAACTTCTAATATTCAAAGTGACTGAATCATGTTGGGGTGATCCTCAGGGCCTGCGCCGAAAGGAAGAAAGGACCCCTGAAATAAAAGCCCCTGGGTCGGACATACCAAGGCAGGACACCCAGGGGGACATCACGCCCTGTTCCTGACCTGACCCTCTGGGGCCAACTGAAGTCTTGGGGAAGCAGCTTTGTGCTGAATCAAAAAAGCAAGTCCTCAGAAGCTAGTCCCCTGAAGCCAGTTAGCTGACCCCACGGTGGGTGCAGACACAGGCAGTGGCCCACTTATGACCCAGCTGTGGACAGAGTGGGCAGTGGTGGTAGCAAGGGGTCCCTGTGGGCATCTCCAGGGGCCTCCAGCAGGGAACTGAACCTGGCCGAGCCAGGACTTGATTGGTTTAACTGAAACGGGAAGAAACGAGGAGGTTGACCTTATTTTGTTCCATGAACAAGTTTGGTGGGGTAACCTGATACCACTTAGAGTTGTCTCTTCCCCCAACAGAACTGACGTGCGAGAGATGATGAGCTCACGTGGAAAGACCAGTGTGTTTCTCTAGCCCCAGGCCCAGCCTTGGGTGATGTTCATGATGTGCCTGGTCACGAGGGATGCTCTGCCCTCGCTCAAGACCACAGATCCTCGTTAAGGGCAGTGTGCTCAGCTGAGGTCAGAAACTGCTTGCCTTCTCCCCACAGGGCAGCCTGTAGAGCGGGAGCTCTTTACCTGAGTCCTATCTGTGATCAGGCTGCAGAAAATCCTGAAACTTGCAGGTGATGCTGTGTGCGCACACGTGTCCACTGGGTGAAGATGAAGGCTTGCCCTTTTGAACCTAGTCTACTCGTCCTGATCGGCTGGCCAGCCAGGAGCAGTTCCTGTTGGTGGTGACAGGACAGGCCCTGCAAGGAGCCAGTTGCCCTCTTCTTGCCTTTACCCCTGGTACCACTGACCGTCTTCCCTGCTCTGCTCTTGGTTTCTTCTGCCCAAATTGGCAGTTGTCAACTCTGACCACTCATTCAGATCACCTGGAGAGCTTCTGAAGAACTCTCCTGCTCAGGCCCCAGGAACCATAATTTTTCAGAAGCTTCCCAAGTGGTGCATAACCCGTGGTGGAAGTAGATGCCAGCCCAAGCGACACACTACAGAGTCGTGACCTGCATGCATGGTGTGAGGCAGGCCACTACCCACCATGGGCCAGGACATCCCTGCCCCAGGGAGGGTACCCCCCAACC